CACAGGAAGTTCCATCTGAACCTGAGGACAAACTTCTTGACTGAGAGGGTGACAGAGCACTGGCACAGGTTGCCCAGAGAGGCTATGGAGTCTCCTTTGCTGGAGATATTCAAAACCCGTCTGGATGTGATCCTGGGCAATGTGCTCTAGAGGACCCTGCTGGAGCAGGGGGGTTGGACTAGATGATCTCCAGAGGTCCCTTCCAACCTCAAGCATTCTGTGATTCTGTGAAATAAGTGAACCCTGTGGCCACGAGGTTTTGTTCCCATCCATGCTCAAAAAAAAATTCAGTTTCTTTTGGTTTTTTTGGGGACTCTTCTGGTTGAAAACAGCTGTCCTAGCAGCTGTGGTTCGGTCAGGTCTCAGAAGTGCTGATCACTGGGGAAGCTGAAGGGCTGGAGTCAGATGACAGAACAGGGGTGACTGTAGTCAGCAACCTCCTGAACGAGGCCCTCTCGACCATCGCAGTCAGATCAACATTGCTTTGCGGTGCTGGCCATGCAGAGTGACCAACTAAGTACTTGCGTGTCAGCAATGTAGCCTGGACAGTGCACACTACTTCTCTCTGGTGAGCTTGTACCCAGTCTTTCTACACTGCCCAAAACAGTGAGGTCACAGTCTCCCCTAGAAACAGGGTCTAGTACAGATCATGACCACTTTCAGATGCAGTTGTCAGGCACAAAGCTGCTCAGACCTGGAGGACGAGGCATGTTGAGGGCTCCCGCTGGGGATGGCGCAGCCCCCCTGCAGCAGCTCCATCCGCTTGCTCCCTTGCCTTTCCCTGTTCAGCATGTGGCCACAGGAAGTGTACCAGAGCAAGCGCCCCACTGCACTCCCTTAGAGTTTAGGCAAATGAGAAAGTTACATGGAGGTAAGAGGAACTATGAACTTGCTGTGCACCAGTAGTTCAGTGGGAACAAGCTGGGTGTATATTTTCATGGGACAAATCTTTTGCGCTACTCTCCAGAGGACTTCAGGGTGGTCAGTGTCCACAGAGTAGCTGACACATCCTGCTTTATCCCAAGAGAAATTATTTTTGTGTCATTAAATACAAAATCCATCTTAAAAATAGTCAAATTATGGCAGATCATGACTTCTTACAGCAGACAAGAGCAAAATCTGTCCTTAGGGTCTTCAAGATTTCTCCTTCAGAAAGGAAAGTCAGGATAATTTACTTCTGAGATTTATCTAAACAAACCTTACGTTATAGACTTGATCCAGGAAAGCATTTTTAAGAGCTGTCTATGCAAACACATACAGTTCTCTTCCAAATCCTTTTCTTTCTCAATTCTTCCTACTAAGCTTCCACCACAAAGCAGCACATTAGATGTTGCTATACTTGAAGGTTTAAACTTTTGGCCTTAGAGGGAAAAATAAAGTTAAAATTGATAAGGTGCGAAAGAAAACTGAGAAAAGTCACTTGTCTCCATTTGAGCTGTAACAGGTATAGCAATGTACATTCTTAGTGTCCTTTACTGCTAGGTGATTTTTACATAGTCTGCTATCATTAAAACTGTTATCACAGTGATTATTTTAAAGCTTTCGATCCCAGAATTGGTTTGCTGAAAATGTACACTTCATGGCACTCTAGATTCTGAAATTTTTCTTGTACCTGAATTTGCTACTGGTCTCTCCCCTTATGATAATGAATATTGTCCAGCTAGTGACAGTGATGCAGTCACTGTTAATAGCAGGGTACTTCCTACTGCTTCCAGCTTAAGATGAAGACCAGTTAGGCTTCAGGTCAACTGTAGGTTTTCAAGATATTTCTTCTGGTCCCTTTTTTTTTTTCTTTCCAGTTTTCTGTGACGAGGCCCCGCAAACCTTCTGTATGTAACATCAGTGCATGTTTTTTTCTAGTTAGAAGAATTTTCCTGTGACATGCAGTATATGAGTTGGGTTGTTCTGCTCACTTAGATGACATGCTTTTTTTAAAATAGTTTGCTGCGTGGCAGTTTGAGCAGTCCCTACTCTAGCTATTTCTTTTTAATGAGTTGGCTGCAAAAATACAGGGTCTTCATTATGTCTGCTGCAAACTTACTGTGCCTCCACCACGTATTTCACTCTTAATTTCGGATGCATCTCATTCCCTCCTGTTTTGTCTTAGCATGGTGGGGAGAGGTTCAATAAAGGCAACTGACTGGTGATCATACCTCTCTGTTTTGCCATCTTGTCATTGTGACTGCTGCTAATGAATAAATACACCTACTCCTTAAATGGGTGGCATGCTCTAGCCACCCCAAAAACTTTAGTTATCCTCTGTTACTAATTTTCCATGAGTTTCTTTCACAGCTGTTCTGCTCCAAAGAACTGCTCACATCTTCCATGTCAAATACAGTCATGTCACCCACTTTTCCATTGTCCCAAAAGGTGCCCAATTTGTCTGAGATTTTCTTTTCTTATACAGAGAGAGAGATGCATCTGTTTCACGCAGCCTAGTCAGTCTCTCTGGACTTTCAATACTTGCGTTAATGAGCTTGCCACTGATGATCTGTGCTCTGGAGATATCTCTATCCTTTTTGTGCGATACACCTCTGAAAACAATCAGCTCTCTAGCTCTCTGGTCTGCAGCTCCCTTCTCTATCTCACAGCTGACAAAAATCAGAATCATTTCTTCCCCATTTTGCCCAGTTCTTCCTAGTCTCTCTGGTTTCAAAGTCTATAAGCAACGTTTTTGCTGCACACAAGCCATAGCAGTTAGTTTCTTCTTCTGGCAGCCTTAGGTGCCTTCATTTGACTACTTTAAGTGGTGATGACACATGCCAGATAGGACAAATGAACTATTAATAGTAGCACTTTTTGCAAATACTTTACTTGAGGAGCTCAGCTCTCTCTGCCTCTCTCAGACTCACACACAGATGCACACAGTCAGTGCATCTCAGAGCCACCTCTGTGTCTCTTAAAGGGAGATTGCAGCAGTTACCTCAGTCTGCTTGGATGTACTAGAACTGGAACGGGCGTTGTACTTTAATGACTTCAGACATCTTGATTTTCTGAAATTAAAGTCCATATCTTATCATAATCATGGCAATTTTAGAAACTTAATCAGATAGCTTTGCATGCGCTTCTGTATGAAATTGGTATGCAAAATGTATTGAGGGTTGTTAAACAAAATAGAGCAAATGAATACACATTTTTGGATTATTAAAACTAGACTTAAGAAAACAAAGATAACTGCTGATAAAAATTCACAGTATTCTCTGTCAAAAAGCAATTGTTATCATACAGTGGCATTAATTAAACCAGTCACCCAGCCTTATCAATCACTCGCTTTTAGATCCCCTTTCAGAGCCATGAGGAAGCAGTAGTAGTAACTTTGAATTACACCTCAGTAGCAGCTTTGATTTATAACTTTGAAGTTGGCCCTGCTTTGAGTGACAGGCTGGACCACATGGGCCTCAGAGGTCTCTTCCTACCTGAATTTTTCTATAAAGATATGTTACCATGGATGAGGAGCCGCCTCTTTGAGGAAAACGTTTCACACAGGCTTTTCAAACCTTCACCACCATCCTTCATATTATTCAAAATGTGATGTAGGGACACTTGTAGGGGAAAGGTCTCACACACACACAAATATATATTTTCTCCCTAAGCGAAATAGCCTGAATTCTTTGTAGAATAAAAATACATTGTTATTCAGTGTAAACAGAAGGAACCACATGAGCTGCAGTAATCCCCTGCTATAGCTGCTTCTCCTTTGGTGGTTGTCAGTAAACAGGTACGGGACTGCTCTGTAGGGAACATGCAACATCTGGCGGTGTATCCCCGGTAGCGCTTTGGCAGTGAGAAGCTGCTTTTATTGACCACAGCGTTATTAGGTGCTTGCCATAGGAACCGAGTCACTGGCAGAAGATACCGCTGTGTATCAGGCCTCCTGAATTAACCGAATGCCCTCTGGGGACTCCTGCAATGGGTGCAACTTAAGGCTGGCCCAAGGCTGGACCTTTGGGAGATGCTGTTCAGAAGGGAGCATGAAGCGCTGCTTTCAAACGGCCAGCTGCTGCTACAGCACCCATATCAATGTGATTTGATGAGAACTTTTATTTTCCATGTGTCAAGCGTGGGCATTTACTAATTATGCAACCTCAAACCTAATCTCTTTTGAAATGTATTTTGAAACCCCATTTAGTAACAGTGCCCCTAGTTCCCAGCCATGCTGTTCAAAGACTTGGGGGGTGCAGCCCGATGGCAGCACTTTGCCCCCCTCCCTTGCACACGCCGATGCTCTTTCAGGGCTTTCACAAAAGCTGGTGCCCAGCCCCGAGCCCGTTCTCCAGCAGCACCCAGAGGTGGCCGTGAGGGGCACCCTAGCTGATGAGGCACCCCCAGCTTTTCGGGGGCAGTAGCAAGCAACCCCGGAGAGGTTTTGGCTGCTCGGGGTGGGGGGGGGGGGGGGGGGCCCCCAAC